AAGGTTGGTGATTTCCAGTATGATTTCGGCGCCTCCTTTCGGAGGGTCACACCCAGTACCCAAGTGGGAAGACTGAGCGGTCCACACTTCGAACTTGATTTTCAGTTAGACTCAATTGCCACGATGGGAAGGATGGCGATGGAACGGAAAGGTGCAGGAGTCAGCAAAACAGTATTGTTGAACAATGTTTCCGAAAACGCGCAAGTGAAAGTGGCGTTCAGCAGCTGCAAAGCGGTGGGAAATAGTTTAGGGGAGGTATCATGAACAACCATGGAAGCAAAAAAGTCGAATTAGACAGCTTGATCAAAAGTTGCGAAAACCTCAGCAGGTACACCATGCGGCGTCCCGCATTGCTTCACCACGAACTGACAGCGTCTTCGTTGGGCAATGTCTGTCAGTCGTGCATTGCCCCCCTGCCTTGGTTACTGGAAAGGTGAGAACGTGGAAAACCCTTAGAACCAGGGTGTGACACACACCACACACACACACACCACCCAACCTGCCAGAGCATTCGTGCGGCGGAGCCCGGTTCCGGGGCGCGAACCCTTTTCTGAATGGAACCCGCCGGCAGTCTCTGAGTCTCTCCATAGTTGCGCTTTTAAGCACTCCAAGCCGACTCAAGCCAGTACGAGCAGCCACCTAGATACCTAGATACTATAACTATCTATATAATACTATATTTAACTATCTATCACAACTAATGACAACCAACTGGGCATGTGCTAGTCCTGCCAAGGGCAGACATTTACATAGCTCGACGCAGTGCCTTCATGGTCGATCCAAATCCAGCTGTCAAGGATGGTGTCCTGATGTATATAACCATCCGATCTTCAAGCCCCATTGATTTAACAGTCTTTACTAAACAACCAGGGTTTGTACACTACAAGTTCCAGGTCAGCCAATTTGAAACTGGTCTCGGACTCCGGTATCCCCTGCCTTCCACGCATGTTAGAAGGACTAGCACAAAATGATTTGAAGCCAGGATGGCCAGGATGGCCAGAAAGTCGGGCTGAAGTCCGAACTCCACGCCCCCACGACTCCACGCGTCAATGGACTCCGGGGACCTCCACCATCAGAGACTTCCTGTGAGGTGCCTTGGTGGCGCCGTTGCAGGTGCATCAGGAGGCGGGCGGTACGAATGCGGGGTCCAGCCGCGGGTGCCGCATGCGAAGCTGTGAACCGCTGTGGTGCAGAAAGGCGACAGGCCCTTGAGCACCCAGCAGAGGTTGAAGAACCCTAGAAGTGACTGGTGCGACTCGTAGGGAATATGGGAATGGATCCAGAGGGGCCTACAGGGGTGGTTCATACCCTCATTCCCTACGAGTCGCACGAGTTTTTGGAAGTGACTCTAGACTATTCCAGTTCGGTACCCAAGTAGTGTCGGAGTTCAGGTCACTGAACCTCTCTTTGCCAGGTCGGATGCGTGAACCCGTTCTTTTTGACAAACGACCATTGACTCCCAGGATGAAGTGCACCCCACACTATGGCACGTCCTCACATATGGCATGGCCTCCTGCAGTGGTCTTTGCAACGTGATCGCTTCTTCTTTTAAAGTGCCTCAAGGGCACAGAAGATCGCAAGGTCACCCAGGCTTTGCAAAGGCAACAGCTGTTCACCAAGCTGCTATGTGCTATGTAAATCATTGTGCATGGGGTTGTGTCTCCTCCGCCAAGCACATGGACAAATATGAGCAGGTATGACCCTTTTGAACGATGCATTGTACACCCTAGAAGTCGAAAGACCATACTTCGTGAAGTAAAGGAAACATGAGGACACTCCTTCTCCGGATCACCTAGTCAGACCATTTTTCTAACCTGGTCAACTGACTCCCAGGGAGTTCTCATTCTCCCACTTTTGGGACCTCTAGAACGAATGAGAGTGGTTTCAGAGTAGATGGCACAGACCTCAAGATGTCCTGTACATGGGGGTTCATATAAACCACCTCTTGGGGTCTGTGCCATAGGTCCTCTCAATCCGAATTAACCTCCATCCAACAAACATGGAAGTGGAGCGAAGTCGAAATTCCTCCATGAACAGGCTGTCTTCCACATTCCATGATTGTTTCAGGGAGGCTCATTCCAGTTCCCAACCTAGGTCTCCGATGGCTGGAGGGCTGCGGAAGGGCCCTCACAGGTTTCAATGGGTGACCTGTTGGCCGTCGGTGCTGATCGTTTTCCAGAAACTCTTCTGTCAGGTCCGTCAGGTCTCCGCGGTCTCCGGAGCCACCATGGGTATCCGAGAGCTCAGCCGGCCGACTTCCGGTCCCGAATTCCTTGCACATCATCATTTACCCAGTCGAAAGAACCCAGCACCGAAAACCATCCACTTCGGACTCGTACCAATGCCATGATCGAGATTTGAAGGTTTTTTTTTGGTGGGACTCTCCAATTGAAGCAGTACTTTGAACTGCTTGGAGTCTGGGTTTTCGCTTGGACAAACTCGCCAGTGAGTCTGGTCCAGGAGCCCAGCGGGGACCTAGGCGAGCACGCCGGAGCCGTGCGTGGGAGCGCTGGAGCCGTCCGTGGCGGGGCCGTCCATGGATGAAGGATTTTGGGACTACAACACCAGGGTCAACCATGTAAGCCTCTGAATCGTGTGTCCTGGATTCTCAATATATGCCTGGTGGATGTTCTGGGCACCTGGCGCTGGGGTGCCATAACCCAACTGCAACTCCCTGGAAACGGCATTTTTCGTGAAGAAAAGCACCCCCAGAGCTGCCGCGACGTCGCACGAACGTGTTGCTGGATCTCCGTCGCGCGGCGCGAAGTGGCCACACCCCAGCCGGCTCGACTCGGAGACCCTCAGTGGGCCGAGAGTTAACACACACACACACACACCAGCAGTCACATGTCCCTCGGGGTGGTGTGGCTCGTCCCATCCAGTGGATGTGACAGGGCCCCCCCTGCCCTCCATGGGATCGCACCCCTATCGCTCGCTCTGTGACTGCTGGCGACGCGGACACGGAGGTCTGGTTCGGTCGATGGATGGCGCAGAGCGGTGTCCGAACTGGCCGCGCTCGCAGAGGGGTAAGCAAGATTCTTGAGCGCCCGATGGCTTCAACCTATCCATCAACCACCTGGAAGTGCACTTTGATGAAGAACATCACAGTCACTACTTTAGAGATGTCGGCCCGCAACCGAACCATCATCATCCGACCCAGGGATATACAGCTATACAGGGATGGCTTTTTTTTTCACACATTCAGATGCTGCGAAGCACCATGTAAACACCTGGACAGCACTTCTTCAAACCGACAGGTCTGCCGTCACCTCCACACGTGGGGGGACCGGCTGGGGCACGAAGCGGTCAGAGGGTCGGACCTGTGCTGAGCTGGGGTCCCCAAGGTGGAGACCAGACACGACCCGTCTAGGAGTGCCGGACTGCCGCCCCATTGACCCCCCATGGCACCACCCCAATGTGGGCATATATGGCAGTCCCATGGAGTGTCTGGGAATAGAGAGCGCCCCCCCCGTTTTGGGTGGCCTCCCTGGTCCAAAAACTTGTTGGGGGGATCGGTTTGGATCACCTACCGAGGCTGAGAACCCTAGTTCGACTATCCCAGTTCGGTACCCCACTAGGGTCCTAGTTCAGGTCACCTATATAACCTAGGATCTTTTCCATCGGGAACGCCCAGTTTTGTCCATCTCCGGGGTTTGGAGTCCGAGGATGTTCGAGGCCGCGTGTTGTTTCGAGGCCACGCGGTGCCTTTTTCGGACCACCGCAACGGTGGCCGTTTGAAGGGCCAGCTTGTAGAGCCCAAACTGATATCTCGACCGAGGACGCTCGTGGTCGGTTTTGCGCCGTCCCCCACACCCCGACGGGCACCTTCATCACCCCCATCCAGATGTCTCAAGGGCACCCTACCATCCAAACAGGCTGTTGGTAGAAAGACTTGTTCCTGAAAAAGACCCATATATATGGAGTGATGCGACATTGGATGACCAACTCCGGGTTGATGCAGCGGGTGCCTCACACGCCCGGTCTTTAGCACTCACTGCCAATGACACGGGGATGGATTTCGCACAAGTGTGGGGGCTTTCTGCAAAAGAGGGCCGCGTTCGGGTTCGGCGCCGCACAGGGTATGGTTGGTCCAAACTGTTTGGAAGAGAGGAGGTGTCCACCGGCACTGGTCCGGAGACCACACGAGCCTCCGGAGAAATCTTCGGTTCAACCCGCGGAGGCTCCGTGTTTTTTGTCCATGTGGTTTTGGCGTATGGCCGCACTGGAGCCTTCAGTGCCCAAGCAAAGTGTTGGGGAAGTGAGATGCAGGGTTTCGCACATAGCCAGACTGCCCCATGTATGGAGTATGAGGGAGAATGCACCAATGCATCTTATGCCACCCGGGTCTTATGGAGCCTTGGGGATCCCCAAAACGTGGCTCCTGGCACGATCTCTTCGTCGTCGTCCGGGAACTTGCGGCCTCTTCATGTCGTCGAGGACTCGGGGAGGTGCGCCTTGAGCCATTTTGGCCAAGCGTTGCAGCATGGCGAGCCCGGAGGTTCGTTGCTGTGGTCTCTGCACTCCGGACGAGGAAGCGAAAAGGAAGCCTGGTGACGCGCAGGAAACCCCGGAATGTCAATCAGATGCTTTTACTCACTGTTCGCGCGACGAGCTTCTTTTGCTTGCTAAGTGGGGGCGGTCCGCAAGAAAGCGTTCTCGCGCCCCCACGCTTGTGGCGAACTGTGAATGGCGTGGGGGCTAGCATGCACTTGTGTGGGGCGGTTGGGCATTCGGATGCATGGGCATCGAAGTGTGCGTACGAATGCGTCCTTGGGTGCGTCTTGGTGGAGGGCTGAGCCTGGAGAAACATATCCCCAAGCGACCTACTTTCACAGTGGGTGGTGCCATAGGATATGCGTTGTCTCTATCTGACGCTTGAAGGTTTCAGGGCCGATAGGTTGGATCAGGTCGGAGCTCTTGAGAAGGTGGACCGCTGATGGCAGGTGGGCTGCAAACCGACCCTGCGCTGGTCAGCATTTGAGGGCTCAGATCCGTGCCAGGCTTGTTGGACCTGGCCCGATGGAAGGACTTGCAGGAGAGAAGGGATGCAGATGCAGAGAGGATGCAGGGAGTTGCACACATAGAAAAGATGAAGGGCAATCATGCACTCCATCCGCGAAACCTTGAAAAGAGTAGAGGCTAGAGGCGTTGATCATCGTTGACCAAGCATCACATACTCAGACGCAAGCACCCGCTGAAACCTCAGGGTGGGGGAAGTATGTCAAATGGTTTTGTTCAGGGTAATTTCTATTTTCCCTTTGGGTGAGGTGAGCCCTCTGGCAAAGTGCGGCAGTTTTAGTTTTAATTACTATGCTTCCCGGCTTCAGCTCAAACCATTCCAAGATTTTCTTGCCACCGCTGTGCAGGAGGACACACTCTTCCCCGGCACGAAGAAGCAGAATCGGCGCTCCTCAGAGGTTGGGCCGTCCAGCGTTGACGCAGATGTTGGGAGACATTTGAAGATGATGCTTGTTGTTGCAGCGGCCGATGAAGGAGACAAATGGTCCACAACCCCCGAAATTGGCCATCATTCATGGTTCGGAGGATGAAGGTCTCAGAAGCTGGGGGACAAGCTTCTGGACACTTCCGCGCTGTCATTTTTCTCTCTTTCGCGCCGAGGAGAGAGAAGATTGGATGGAGGAGATGATCATCTCCAAATCTTTCGTGCCTTGGCGGTTCCCTAGGAGTTTGTGGCCAACCATGGATTGAAGGGCCTTTTCCATCCGAAGGAACAATTGGTTGAAATGGATTTATGCTACAAAACCAGGTACAGTTTTTGTGCCATCTACTCTGGACCACTGTAAAGACTGCTCCCCATCTGTCATGGAGCAGATGGAACTTCCAGACCGAAGGCGATGCTCCGGTTTCATGGCCCTGCGATGCTCCGGTTTCATCGCCCTGCACTGCCTGACCACAAGAACTAACACAGAAGTAGAGGACGCGGCTCTCCGGTTTTGGGGCGCCAGATGGTCATCCAAACGGTTTGGCAGCTGTGTCTTCGCCAGATGCCGACCTTCAAGCCTGACTGACGCCCATGGCCATGGCATCGTTTTTCGTCCATCCGAGGCCTCTATCCACTCTCCTCGTTTGGAAGAGGCGACGGGGGGGAGCACGCCGCGGCGTCCCACCCAAGCCGTTGGCAAACCGGTGTTGCGTCGTGAGCATTCGTGAACGATGTGTGTGTGTGTGCCCCTTGTAGTCACAGGGATTCTTTGGAATTGTAGTTTTGAGCAGGGGGGCACAGGAGGCCCATAGAGCTGTGCCCAACGAAGCTCTCTATGGTGACCTCAGGATATGCAGCCTGATCAGCCTGCTGAATTTTAACATTTGCAGAGTTAGCTTCTGCAGTCACGCACGCAACGTCGTCATCCCGCCCTGTTCGTCGTTTTCGACCTTACGCTTTTGACCTCACTTCCTCTTGAAGACCCCCAGGATCCAGGGCTTCGTACATGTACTCTTAGGCATTGGAACCCTAGGCCGGCGTGTGGCACCGCTGTCAAGTCAGTACGCATTTCCATAAGTGTGTTTGGCCTCGTGCCAACCCGGGATGAGCCCGTAGAGTGCCTCCCGTAGACCCGTCGAACGGGGGTTTGTCGTTATCTCCCCTGCCCGGAGATGTAAGTGTCCGTAGCGGACAGCAGATGGCTTATGCCACAAGAAGTGGGATGTTTGTCTCATTTTTGGAATTCTAAGCTGGCTCATGCCTTTACGTGACCGCAGCGGTCAAAGGTGGCAGCCTTCGGGCAAGCCGTGCGTGGTCACAGCGACCGAAATTTGTTCAAGGTTCATTGGAACCTGTCGCGAGCTTAGTCCCCCCTCCTTCCCCTTCCCTCCCCTTTCTTTCCTGGCTTTTTGGGGTTTTCCTGGAAGACTCAGGATCACCCCTTTCTTTCTTTGGTGTGTCCCTGGACGTTTGTTCGTTGCTGGGAACACCTGCTTTTTACTTTTCTCTCCTCTCCCTTTCTCTTCCTCTCTCTGCTTTCTTTCTTTCCTCTCTTCACCTTCCTTCCTCCTTGGGTGTCCCTGGATGCTTTTGTCATAGCTGGGAACCCTTCTCCTCTCTTTCTTTGGTGTGTCCTTGGACGCATGCGTCGTAGCTGGGAACACCTTCCTTTCTTCTCCTTCCTTTTTCTCGTCTCTCCCTACCCCTCCCTCCTGTCGGGACCTTAGCTTGGGATGCTACTAGGGGCTCCTGGCCTTCCTACTAGGTGCTAGGTGTTTCTTTGATGCTACTAGAGGTGCCTGGCCTTACCTCTACTTGGAGACGAAGTACACCTCGTTGCCTCGTTGATTGGAATTCTTGACATGCTTGGAGACGAAATACACCCGCTAACAGAAGTACACCTCGTTGATTGGAATTCTTGACATACTTGGAGACAAAGTACACCTTGTTGATTGGAACTCTTGACGTTTACCTGTTGATGCCATTTATCATTTGTCATTAGTTTCATCCAACCTTCCCGGTGTGGCGCTTAGAAAACTTGCCTCCCTTTGGGGAGGCGTGTGTGTGTGTGCCCCTTGTAGTTACAGGGATTCTTTGGAATTGTAGTTTTGAGCAGGGGGTATAGGAGGCCCATAGAGCTGTGCCCAACGAAGCTCTCTATGGTGACCTCAGGATATGCAGCGTGATCAGCTGCACGTACCTGCTGAATTTTAACATTTGCCTGCAGTCACGCACGCAACGTCGTCATCTCGCCCTGTTCGTCGTTTTCGACCTTACGCTTTTGGCCTCACTTCCTCTTGAAGACCCCCAGGATCCAGGGCTTCGTACATGTACTCTTAGGCATTGGAACCCTAGGCCGGCGTGTGGCACCGCTGTCAAGTCAGTATGCATTTCCATAAGTGTGTGTGTGCAGATGGGTCGTGAACCAGCGACAAAGCCAAGACCAACCCTTCTCTGGAGCACACCACCTGGAATTAATGTAGGCTCTTGATTATAAACCCACCCCATTTGGATTGAAACACCTTTAATTTGGGGGTTTATTATGTTTCATTATTCTTGATCAAGAGTCTTCATTACGCATGGTTGTGGTTGTAAAGAACTCTATCCTCCCAGCTGCTTGATTTCGCTCAGGAGGTGGGCCACCGACGGATAAAGCGCGCGCATGTGGTTTCCCTATGTTTTCCTAAAGGAGGATTTCTGAAGGAAGGCCATGCCAGGCACCCAACCAAAGATCACAGGTGGGGTAGACAAAAAGGAAGAGCACAGAGGAGTGGATATGGATGGCGTTCAGGGATGCCAGATGATGATGTAAGGGTGATGAAGCACCTGGCGCACCTGGCATATTTTTGGTTGCATGTTCCCGAACCTGAATACCCGAACCTGGGGAATATAGGTTTTTTCATTCGGCTTCGACAGCAATCTAGGAGCACATAGGGGAGGAGACCATGGTGCAGGAGCAAACGGATGCAACTCCAGTAGGTGACGCAAGAAAAACATCTCAGCAAGATCTCAGTGATTTCCACTTAGAATTATGATTTGATATTATTTGTGATTCGCATTTAGGTCGCCCTTGACCAGTGGGCCAGCACTCTGAAGCCTCCCGCTGATGCTAGAATTGCATGCCTGAAGGTTTTGTAACAGGTCCCTGCGTTTTCCCCAGCTTCCCATGCCCCGCATTGGATTTTGGACTCAGGTAATTTCTGATGTTAGTTTTGGTGAATCAATGGCGTTCAATGGCCATGTCCGAAAGTCAAAATGGTCATCGAAGCTGCACAGTGACTAACCCCATGGCAACTAATGCGAAAGAGTTGAAAAGCTGTGCCCCTTCATGATTGATGTCGCAGAAGATGCTTGTCTCTCCTTGCTTTCGGGATGACGGCCCGGATCGTGCAGCGCGGTCACGTGTGCGAGGCGCAGCGCGACCCTGCAACCTCCAGAACGAGACCAGAACCCTTCAGGCGCGAAAAAGCATTTGTTTTTTTGTGCCACCAATTTGGGCGCACAGAGAACATGTCGCGCATATATGATGGATCTTTCAGGCCGAGCTTCGAGGCTTGAAGAGTGCCCCTGGAGTTTGGGCTTGAAACATGATCAGCTATGATCAGCTGGCATGAGAAGCCACTGTCCCGCAGAACATGAAGACACCGAAGACGCCTCTCCCCTGCAGCCAGGAGATCCCCCGTGTCCGGCAGCAAGCCGGGGAGCCGAGGAGCCGGTCGGAGGTCAGACTTCCTCCTAGGACGGGTGGTCAGCTTCTTGCTGTCGGGTCGTCGTGGGTGGCTGTGGGTCATGAGTCATGGGTGGCACCTGGAGAATACAGATTGGTTCACCTACCTGGGAGGTCGTAGCCACTGGACCACTCCAGCTTGAACGAATGGCCCATCCTGCCACAACGCCCCCGACCCGCGGATGGACGCAGGTCCGGCACGCGGCCCCGCTTCTACGCCGAGCTGGTGCCTTTCTCCGACTCCGAGGACCACGGGGCGCGACCTCTCAGAGATCGCTGCTGGTCGGTGCTGGCGGCGGCCTCCAGACAGACTCCCCCCCCTCCCAAAAATAGATAGAACATGACCACCCCCAATGTAGGCATATATTATGGCATACGTGGAGTGTCTGGGTGATAGAAAAGTGGATCCCCACATCGAAACATGTATTGGACACCTGGGCCACTATGCTTGGGCACTGGGCACCCACTGTATCGGAAACTCCTTAGACTCTGGTCACCGTTTTTTAGACCGGTTTTTACCAATTGGTCGACGTGGATGAATGCAGGGTGCTCTCGAGACTTTGAAGCCAATCTTGATTTCCCTCAACCAGGATCACCTCAACCCTCCCAAACATGTCGCGATCTTTTGATCTCTTGCTTGTAGCTCGAGCGACAGGCTCCTGCGCCAACGTTTTCTTCGGAACCTCCATGGGATCCGCCCACCCCCCGCCGGGCCGTCGTCGACTCCCTCCCGAGGCACCGGACGAGTCCGCGCTTTCGGCGCACGCCTGGAGCGACCCGTGGGATTGGCCGCGACCCCCGGGAGCGAAGCGGCGGATCGGGAGTGGAGGGCGAAGGAGGGATGAATTAGGGATCGATGTAACCGATGGAAAAACCCGGAAGCACAAGAAGGTCTAGTGAATCCTTCTGGTTGTTCCGAAAGCTGAATGCCGAAGCTGAAAGAGACGGAAGGACTTGGCCGCCTTTGGCCCGAGCCTAAGGCCCTTTAGCTGGTGGAAAGGGCGCCCCCACAGCAGAGGGTCTATACAGCAGTCGGGGTGTGGAGAATCGGGGCGATCTTCAACTCTGCTTCGAACATGCTGGGAGCTGCAACCTGCCAACCCAGGAAGGATCTCTTTCGTGAGAACAGTCTCATCAGGGGTGGGTTCATGAAGGGTCATCAAAACTGTCAACAAATTAAAACACAAGGGCAGGGCCGCAGGGCCAGCTGTTGGCCTCCAGAGAAGAGCATCTCTGAGCATCAGTCTGAGCATCAGTCTGAGCATCAGTCTGAGTCAGTCTGAGCATCTCATCCCACATATCCTCGGGTGAACTGTTTCTTTTCCCCAGACGCTCCATGTGGAATACGACGATCGAAAAAATGAAAAAGAAGGGTAAATGGTCTGCCAATCTTCCTATACCCACGCCCCACTTCCTAGAAAGGGCCTCCTTCCTGGTCCGAAACAGGCTCCAAACCTGACGGCTGGTGCCCCGAAACCGCCGTTCTGACGCCAGCAGGGCGTTCTCCGGGCGAATCTGGGGGACCGACGACCCCGCCTCGGACGTTCTGGCACGTTCCGCTCCGGCGCCCGAGGTTCTTTCTGGAGGAGACGCCGCCAGCTCCGGCGCTCTCGCGGGGCCGCGAGGCGTTTGTGGGTTGGTGACGGGGCCGAAGGGTGACGGGTCGAGAGGAGGGGGTCACCAGATCGGGCCTCATGCTTCGAACTGGAACTCCCTTCCCAGATCGGACCGGACCGGACCTGGTGACCTATACTTCATCCAAATCAGATGACACCCGAAGCGCCCCGGGCTGAAGCCGGACCTGCGTGCCGTCAGGCGCCTCGGATCCGCCGCCTGGAGCCGCATGGAGCGAATAGGGGGAGCGGAGAGAGCGTGGAGGTGGCGTGGAGGTGGTGTGGAGGGGGTGGAGTGGAGTGAAGGGACGGTGGCACACCTGTGGCACACCTCATGGGAGTTAGCAGATGTTAGCAGGCGTTGTTTTTTTGGTCGTTGTGGTCATTTTTGGTAGGTTGATGAAAGGTGTGTCTTGACTTGACTTGTTGACTGGATTTGGATGAGCGAGGTTGGAGATTTGGTTCCTGAGGCAGGCAGGTGTCAAAACATGTTGGGATGCCTCAACTCTGCCAAAGATGGATGCAGAAGACCACTCAGTTGCGACATGTTGCACTAGGCTTGGCCAGTTCTTGCCATGAGGCGGATATTGAGTGGCTATTGTTCATCGAGTGGCTTTCGCTTCACCGCTGAACGAGTTTATAATCAATGGGTCCAAGATGGCCCAAGGCTTTTAGATCGAAATCGTCAGCTGAGCGGCTGAGCAAGATTCGTCTGAGCTGGCTAAGGTATACTGTAGGTCTCAGACTTTGACCCATGAACACTTAAGGAGCCAGAGTAAGTTGAGAGCGGACAGCACTTACCCCGTCCTGAGATTTTCAGGTGGGCTTCACCACCTGTGAAGAGTTCCATTGCCTGACCCTTGTATGCCCAGTGGGCTCCCACTTCCACGGCACACAGACTTGTCTTTTAACCGCCACTTACGTGAGGCTCGCCCCCTGTTCTTATGACAGGTCGGCAGGGGCTACTCACTCTGGTGGTCGCAAGTCGTTGGACTTGCTGAGTGACCACGGAGAGAACCAGCCGCCCTTCTCAGCCAAGGGGAGCCCTTGGTTCGCCGTGGCTGGCGCAGTCCTCCCCGTCCTCATCCAGGCTGACACTGTTTCGGAGCGCTTTCGAACTGAGCGGAGCCAACGTGAGGGCGAAGGCTTTTCCGTCCAAGCCACGCGTTGAAGACCTCACTGTTTCTACCATGAACATCAGGGGCCATTCCTGCCGCTTGAGCCTACCATGGACCACTTGAGACGCTCCCACAAACATGGGACACGCGCGACCACCAAGTTTGCCCAAACCAAACCGCACCAAGTTCCGACACCGCGACCACCCTTCGCGGGCGAGACCCAAGAGCGTCACCACCCATCTCACTCTCTCCGGACACGCCGTTCAGGTCCATGTCCCCGAGCCCGGAGTCGACCAGCGTCCCGGAGGACGCGGGTGGGCGGTGGAGGGTGGGGGTGCAGGCATGCTTAAGCGCCACGCGGGTGGGCCGCACCAGAAGAAGGAGAAGAGAGAGAGAGAGAGAGAGAGGGAGGGAGGGAGGGAGGGAGGGGGAAGAAGACCGAGTTCTCAGATCGGAAATGCCTCCAAATGACGTCCATCCTCGGGAATTGTCTCAACCAAAAGCACTGAGCACCCCAAGTCAGAGCGAAAAGGACCGAAAAAGCTGGATTTTTCTTTCCTCCACACTACTATTACAGGATGTACAGCTTGTACCTGGAACCCATTTGACCCCTGTTTTGATGGGACAAGCCCATATTTCGGGTGGTTGGTGGTCCAAGATCAAGGTCATTCTGGTTCTAGGCCGATTGATGTCCACAGACACCCCGAGACTATCGACCCCACAGTGCTGGGGAGTCCCAGCTGGGACGAGGTCCTGGCGCGTTTGAAATTCAGTGTGGCCAGGGTTCGAGTTGGGCACACTAATGTACTCTTGATTCCTACAGTTCCGCGCCCACACATGGATGATTCAACCTCTTCACACTTGCTGGGGTTGAAATACCATCACCAGCACCACCCAAAGGGTGGTTTATACCAGCACGCGACTCTACAGGTCACCACCTGCGACTAGGAAGTCAGCAAAAGCCTCCAGCCATCGGAGACCTAGATCGAGTCGGGTGCTGGTAGAACCGTCCAAAACGACCAGGTCGACTCACCCCTCAGCGCCAGGAATCGCTTCCGAAGAGCGCCTGGCGACTGGGCGGCAGGGGTTCGAGGCTTCTCGGTGTTTGGACCGCCGGTGTCTGGCGACAGACAGACACCGGACACTCCATGGGACTGCCATAGGACTGCCGATCCATTGACCCCCCTGGCACCACCCCTGGCCTGATCGGTATATAATGCCAGTCCCATGGGTCGTGTCTGGGAATTGATCGGGCTCACATGACAACAACCCTTAGAATCTGGAACTTTTGTTTGATAACTTGATAGCAACACATCATCATCTAACGGTTAATATACAGTTATACTGCCCACCAGTGACCCAGGAATTGTCGGAGATCAGCGGAAAAGGGTGAAACCTAAGTCATTCTGAGTCATTTGCATCTAGTACTGATGTGTGATGGCACCGGAGGGGGGGATGGACGGGACCCCAGATCCAAGAAGCAACCATACTATAAGAACATTAAGGAACACATCAGGTGACTTTTCGAACAACACTTCTCTTCACAAGAATCACCCCTTGTTTTGCTTATCCTTGTTTTCCTTCACATGTTGGATGTTGGAGAGATTTATCTACTCTGAGCTCCTCCTTGAAAGAAACGGCCTGCGGGCTGCCAGGTAGTTCACAAGATGCGAAAGACACCCAGTTGTTGACGGGTCTATAAGGCCTGTTCCGCAACAACTATTGGCCCAAGACGCATAGGTGGCTGTCCTTCATCCCTTTCAAGCCCAACCCCATCAGGCAACTCGCTCGTTCTCACACCTCGAGCCCCGGCGCCCCCACCGAGCAACGAGAAGCCCACACTTGCATCCGCTCGAGTTCAGCCCACACCCCCTCAGCAGCCGGACTCTTCTTCTACCGGTATTTTTTGGCGTCACACGTGCCGGCCATGGGCCCGACGTAGCGATGTTGCTCTATTACAACAAGCTCCTGAGATGAAGTGCTTGGGAGGGTGGCAGTTCTGGGGATACCGGGTACCAGTGGCCCAAGGGTTGACGAGAGCTGCAGGATTCGCAGATGGAAGTAGAAGACTCTCACTGGGTTGAGGACCGCTGAAGAACAGCGAGGAAGCAGCCCGGCTTGGCACTGCTTCTTAGGGGCGGTTCACGTGTCTGAGAAGACAAGTGGGGCCTCTCTGAGTGGCAAAGGCCACAGAGCGAGGTGGTTTGCTCGGGGCGAGCTTTTTGATGGTGCAAACGACCCTCTCCGTATCACAGAAGGATCTATATAGTTACCCGACCGGGAGTTGTTTCTCTCACCCATGTTTTCAGTGGGTAAGAACAGCCCACAAGCTGTTTGTTTCTTCACGGTGGTCATCCGACAGCTCAGGTATGGGCTGACAGCCCCGGCTCACCACCCCCCTCATCGTACAATCTGCGGAAAAGAAGACCGAACCACACCCTATAGAGAGAGGTTGAACAGCTCTATATATGGGCCTATCCATTCCTAAACTATATAGTTTGGGTCCCATCAGGTCTTTCAACCTCTCTTGTGTTGACCCAACCTCCTCGTCATGAGCCTCCACGAGGCGGGGGTCCGTCTCAGGAGCTGTCTGGGCCTCCTCTACGTGGAGCGTCGTGGGAGCGTCTTCTACCGCTTGGACTCCATTCTGGGCGGCTTGTTGGTGGCCACGCTGGGAGGATTGGTGCAATACAGTCGGGATCATGGCTGGGAGCCACTTGGGCATGGTTGGGGGGTGGGGATGGGGATGGGGAGAATCCAAGAGTCTCTTCAAGAGTGGAGGGGGAGTTGGAAGAAGTATAGGTCATGTACAGCCTCTCAAATCTGGGTGTGTATCTATTTGAATTGGGGGACCCCAACCACTGGATAGACGCGTCTATTTCTCTTCTTCCAAGGGGGTCGTTGCCTGGGGTCGGGCTCCCTATTTGTCTTCCGGACGGAGCAGCTCGCATCGTCCCCCGCGAGCATTTTCGGATTCATGCGGGAGTGGTTCCAGCCTGTTACAGCTCTTGCTGGTTCCCAATCCGCCAATTTTGTTCCTCCGTACCCAGCTCCTTGGTTATACAGCGTGTGACATCTCTTACAGCCATTACAGCAAGTGGCAGCTTTTTCACATCCAGCTCCTTCCCCCCCCAAACAGCGCCCCCCACCCCCAGCCTCGAAAAAACACCCCACCGTTTGGACCGCGCGGTGTGACGGTCCCCATCGTGGGGAAACCCAGCCACCCGAGGTATGCGCCGGACATCCACCACCACTACGGCTTCCAAGCCTTGGCGGCGGGCGTCACCTTTGCCGTGGTCTTCCGCACCCAGCTGGCCTGGAATAGGCGTCTCCGCGGTGGGCATGGGGGGGGTTGAGATGGGGTCGACATGGGTCGGCATGGGGGGCGTTTTCAGTTAGGGCACTTCTTGTTCGGAAGGGCGGTGTTTTGTTTGGGGGGGGTGGTGGAGTTGGTGAGGTGGGTTCCTCCTGGGATGGGGTGGACCTGAAAAATGGAACACTTCACCGTGTCCTTCCAGCGGCCCTTCTGAGTCGAGTTGACTCATTAACTGGGTGGATGTTCAAGTGATTTGGACCCATGGAACCCTGAAAGCCCGCTGCGATCGGGAGCTGGCGGTTGAGGTCCGGCAGGGCCCACTGCAGTGGTAGATGAGAATAGACACCCACAAGATCCCACAAGTAAATCCACAAGTAAATCCACAGAAATCCATGGCCTCACGGTCCGTGCGGTCCGTCTGCAGGGGAATATGATCCACCCCACCGATCCACCTTAGCTGGCTGGTTGTTCCGTCTGCAGTGGCTTCAGGATGCCCCACGGGCTGTGTACCGATTTGTGCCACTGATGCGCTCGTTTTGGGCGAACGAGCGAACGGGCAGCGCATCCGACATCCGACATCAAATCGCCATGAGCCTACAGAGGTTGAGTGACCTTATAGGACCCTACAGAGGTACCTATAGGATAGTCTATAGGGTTCTTCAACCTCTGCTGGAGGTACTGGGAGGCGGTGACGCAGCTGCACTTCATGTACAGCAAATATGCGGACGCCTTTCAGCAGTTCTATGCCTTCGCCGAGGCGCGCTCCGCTGCCCCGTTCTGGGTGGGCTTCTGGGTGGCTCGGGTGAATGCTTGGTGTGGGCAGTGCGGTTGTGGTGTCTTCCGAGATGCCGCATTCTTGCTGCGATCCCACGTCGTTGTGTCCGTCGTGGTCGACAAAAGACGGCCCAGAAGATCGCCTGCGCTGCCCGGGCTTGGTCGCCCTGAGCCACGCAGGTGACGAAGAAGATCGCCCGGAAGGCTGGGGATGAAGACAAGGTGGAGCTGGTCGAGGAGAGAAGGCTGAAAGCTGTCGAGAAGCTGGACCATGCGGGACACTATATATACCATGTATAGCGGACTATAGAGGCTCTATACCAGCACCACCCAAAGGGTGGTTTATACACCCCCGTGAAGATGTATTTAACATCCAATAACCACCCTTGGGGTGGTGCTGGTACAGGCAATTCTGCTTTCAAAAAGGCCTGGAGGCATCCCATTCTTCTTCTGTAACCGCACATGTGACACTTTGAGAGTGGACACCTCGAATGGCGAAGTTGGAAGCCCCACCATCGGGCGAACTCTTCAAATGACCTCCGAAATGGGTGCTTTAGACGCCTCCTTCGTTCCAAAAGGAGATAGGACAGGTCAATTCGGATCAAGATGTTTCAAGGGTCCATGTAGGCACTTGTTCATCCTTTTTGATCACTGCCATGGAGTCTGGGACCGATATATGAACGACCTGCGCACGATCGTCTCCTTGGTCCGTCGGGTTTCACGACCCGTCCGCCGCGACGGCCCGCGCCGCCGCCGCGCCGCGCGCCTTACGCGCGAGGAGAAGCAGCGCCGGCTCCGGGGGAACTTTGCGTTATTGAGCCCTTCGGACCGACGCGGCCGCATCGGGCGGTGGGTGAGGTTGCATGTGCCACATGGCACACGTCTGGCCCCAGGATACCCATATATAGGAGTCCAAATGGCTCACTCCCCTAGCAAGGATGCGCGAATGCTATCAGACACCCTTGAAGCTCGCGTTCTTTTAAAGGCGAACTGATAGCTTCTGGACTTTCTCCGGCGAAACCGGGCCCCAAAAGCGTCCCCAAACAAGGGCCTCTTCACCCCAGGGCCCTCCCTCGCCCCCCCCCCTCCCCTGCGTCACCTCCCGGGCGCGCGAGCGCTCCTCTCTGTCTGAGGTGCCTTCTCGGCGGATCGCCTGAGCAACGGCGACAACCAGAGGATGGAGGAGGTACATTCGCATCGGATCCGCTCGAGGGCGGCCATGCGGGTGGACAAGGAGTGGAAGGGCCGCTGGGCGTGGACCAGGGGCGCCCTCCGCGGGTAGCGCGGGTGGGGGGGGGTGGGAACACCTGGCGGATGGTGAGAGGGGAGGATGCTTGAATGGGCTTTGGGGGTTGTTTTGCTTCAGCCCAAGCAGGGTCTGGTGGAAGAACCGGAGTTGAGATGCCCCTTCTCACGTCCGAGCTCCCTTATGCTCCATTGAAGTTTGGAGTGGTGAGGATGTGGTTTGCTGGGTGCCCCCCCCAAACTGACATGGAACCTGAGAATTGACCCAGTGGAACATCATCTTCATCTACAACCCGACGTGTTTCTTTTGGCGTCTTTAGGGTCCATAATAAGGTGGCCCTCGTTTTGAGGAGCGTAGTGAAGTGAGGCTTTTGGTTCAACGAACCTGGTGGTGCTTTTTGGCGGTGGCTACACGGAACATTCTGGTGTCAACGTTTGGGCATTGCGGACGAACACAGGTGGGCCTCGAATGGTGAATCGCGAGTAGATCCTGACGCAGAACATGTTTTGAATGCCTGTTCTGCACCAAACAAGCCAGCTGGTGGGTGCTTTTGGTTGCTGCAAGATGCATACCAGATGCATCCACCAAAACGCGGGTTGTATACAAAATCATGTGTTCAATGACCACCCCCATATAGAAGGTGCCCAATCAGCGGTGTCCAGGGAAGCACCTGAAGCTCGGGAAGGCGGGTCCGTCCGAGCTCCGTCCGAGCTCCGTCCGAGCCCTGAGGCTTTTCGCTTCCAGACATGGTCGAGCGGAGTGAGTATCAGCGCTCCCAGACCCATGACAAGGCGTGGCGGCGCGTGGCGGTGTTGCCCCCCCCCGCCCTCGCGCCCGAAGAACTGTGGCGGCGCGTGGCGGTGTTTCCCCCGCTGAAGTGGGGCACCACGCAGAGCTTCTGAAAGAGTTGTTGGAGATTATATATATATACCTGGGAAGCCAAACAACCAGAAACAAATGGATGTTTCCCCAAACAGCCATTTCCTATGTAAAGGATGTCAATTGCCATAATGGGAACAACCATTTGTTTCTGGTTGTTTGGGTTTCCAGGTAGGTGTCCATGATTAGCATACATACATTTGCCATGTTGGCTTTGGACCAGCAACCAAAGGAGGTCTTCAGACGATGCGTTCAAATGTCAGACCTTCCATCATATTTGCACCATTTCTTGCCGAACCCCACCATTTAGTACCAAACAACACATCGTGTGATTCCTCCCTTGCATGCAGCCTTGGAACACGGTGCATGTTCCACCCAGCACGTTGGCACCGGCTCGCGGCTTGACCATCACTCGACCTGCTCGCAGGTCTATGTCGTTTTCGATCGACCCACACGGGAGCAGCTGGAAGTCCTCTCGCGGACCTTTGCCGCTTGGCGGTTTGCCCCGCCCAACCGGTCGGGCCTTCGCGCGGGCGCGGTGAAGAATTGTGAACCCCAAGTCCGCGCGGGGAAGAGCGTGCAGACGCGAGGACAACAACAGCAGGTGATGGGATGTGATGGGGGGATGAACTGCTTTCTAGTCACAGCACCATCTACCAGGACCCTCCAAGGGGTGCCCAATGGAAGCCTATAGGTAGTGCATTGGACACCCCTTGGAGGGTCCTGGTATACTGCTGTAATATCTCCAGTGTTTGTCCGGTGGAGGGTGAGCAAGGCGAACGCCGTGACCAGGTGCTAAAGAGGCTTGAGCACCAGAGACCTCAGAGAACATGAACACCTCAAACGACCAAGTCCCAATCAACTCCTCCTCCTTGGACGCCTCCCGACCGGTTCGGGGCGACGCCTCGGCCGTGTCGAGGACACCGTCTCCACGGTGATGTACTGGATCATTTGGGACCTCGTGGACATCACGAAGGAGTTGGACGTGGCTCCCCCCATCCAATCCAGGCGTGGGACGCCCCCCGCACGCCGGCGCCGGCGGGGAGGGTCACGGTGACCGTCCGTTGGGGCGGTTGGGGCGGCGTCAGAACGACTCCGAAGGCTTTGAGGGCTTAACGGCCGCTCGTGAACTCATGAAGACACTTCCGCCTTTTCAGATGAGGGCCCTTGTATAGGATTAAGAGATGGCAAAATCCTCTGTGCCATAGAACCTTGGAAACTGTTGTAAGGACTAGCAGGGGGCTGAGCTAACCACCTTGTGTATATAGATATCCCCTAGCACAACTCAGTCTGTCAGTTGCACAGCGGACAGCAAACAGGTGTCAGGGCGGTGACCACACAGTAACGGAACATTGAGAATGACAAGTCGGCTCACCTGAGAGGATTCAAGTCGGTCCACCGCTGGGCCCATCCAACTGAATGAGGGAGCTGTTTGTTGACCGTTCATGACGTACCCCTAGAAGTCCAAGGACTATATGTTGACCGACTGAAGTAAAGGAAATTCCTTGACTCGGGTCACCTAAAGACCATAGTCCTTGACTTCCAGGGGTACTGTATTCGTTTGGAAGGTTGATCATGCATGATCACTCAGTGATTTGGGCTGAACAGTTTTTAGTAATTTTTTCCCCTACAATTCCCTAGCCCTACAGGATCCTACAGGTCAAGGACCTGACATTATTGGAGTTGATCATGCAAAAACACCGCGTTCAGGACCAGGTTTTGAAATGATGAGTCTGTGGACTTTGTTTCTTTTTGGTTCTGCCAGGATGTACCAGGAGTTGTCCAATGGCATGCTGGGCTTCTACAACTGCCTGAAGATTGCAGATGTACCGTTTCCTGGATTTGCCTGGGGGTGATTTTGTATTTTCTCCCATGGGTTTCCCCTTAACCTTTGCACAGCAAATCCCAGGTTTCCACTGCCATACGCGCAGCTTCTGGGGCTGTTGCTCATTGCTTTCTCCTGCCTCATCCCCTTCTACGCCTCTTGGTCTTGGAGACGGCGTGCCATGAGAGCTGCTTCATGTTGACCAAGGTGACCCCTCCTACTGAGGGGTCAGGGCCGGGCCGAGACGTTGGCCCGGCCGGGCCGGAACATGAATGAACAACAAGTTTGGTTGGGGGGATTCATGAGGAGGAACAAGGAGTCCAGAGTCCACGTTTTTCACCTCTCCTTGGTCCAAATCTCCCCAAATCTCACTTCATGAGGATTCGCTCCAAATCTCTTCGGTCCATTTCAGAGTCCACCAGTTCACCCACAGACCACTTCAAGAAACTAAGCACACCACCTGTTACATCCCTCCGTCACTGAGGTCCCCAATGTGCCCGCGGACACACATTGGGGAAGAAACCGGTTAGACCCTTGATGCATAAGCCCACCTCATCCATGTGTGTTGGGGGAGTCTATCTACATCAAAGAGTCTACATCACAGGTGATGTAGACCGTCTGAGGTGATTATCTTCACAGCCAACCCGGTCATCGGTCCGATCCTGTGCTTCTTCCTCTTCGAGAGCCTCTGGTGTCTCAACGAGGCGCGTCCGCCCGGCGGCGCGTCCGGCGGAGCGCCCTCGCCGCACGGAGCCCAGCGAACGTTCCGCACGGGCTCTCCGGCCCCGGTGGACTGTGATTGGGTTCATGTCGTGAACATCTAGGGTCTGTTCGAACTGACCTGTAACAGTCAGTCAACAATGATCATGTCGGCCAGAGTAAGTAACAGCCTGCAACCAGGCCCCATCATCATCCACGAATAGGCCCAGGTCATGCGATAGACCCAAGAAAAACATCAATGTCACGGCAGCACCGGGAATTGGTCCGTGAACGTGTCGCGAAAGATACTGAGTGAGCATCGGTGTCGCGACTGGGGGGCCACCTGCATACTCCTTATCGACGTTTGATTTTTAATGGCCCATGGCACATGGTACGACGGTTGGTCTCCACCCTAGGCTTCCTGGCCAACCATTAATTTAATAGACTGAAGCCCAAATCAACTAAGGATTTTACACTACAAAAACCAGGTCGTTCCCATTTTTTCATGGTCTTGGACGCCTAGGGTCCAGTGATGCGGACCTCTGACCACCGCTTCCGCGGAGCGGACTGGTCTCGGCTTCGGTCCACCAGAGCCTGCGGTGTGGTCGAAACGGATGCGATTGAGCTGCGGGTCATCCGAGTGGACATGTGGCCGGCCTCCCATCCAGGTAATCAGCTTCATGAAAGTGTATGCTTCTATACTCACACTCACACTCTCTTCTCTCTCTCTCTCTCTCCTGCTCGTAACAAGCTACTACTCGTTCTCCTTCTCGTTCTCCTTCTCTATTTCTCTTGCTCCGTCCGGTCCTGTACTGCCTTCGGCTCGTCGCTTCAGTCCCGCCGGACGGTTGCGCAGGTGGCGAAGGAGTTGGAAAACCCTTTTGGTCAGGACCGTCTTCGCGACGCCGCGCGTTCCGACGCCGTGGTACGGTGGTGGCAACCTGGCGCAGTCCAAAGACTTCTTGGGCTCCCTGACCCGAAGAAGAACTATATACTTCTCTACTTCTCTATGGGGCAAATATCATCTTAGGACTTCTGGAATAGGCTCTTGATTCATGTAAGACCCTCCTGAAAGAAGAGGTTTGCAATTCCTGAGTGAAAATCTATCACATGTCTCCTTCAGTCTGAACGTACTCTTTCTGTTCCTCTCCTTCTCTCCAAAAAGGTTGGGATCCTCGCCCAGGCGCTCGGGGGAACCCCAACGTGATCTACCGCGCACCTCCGCACCGCGCCGGCCACATCCGGCCACCGAGCTTCGGGCAGGACCTGAATGACATCTCCGTGGCGGATTTCCACGTGCGCTTCGTGGACGTCCTGGAGGATGTGGGGCTTCCGGAGCATAACTCCGTCCTCACCGGTCCCCACGCGCCAGGCAGGGGTCCGAGGGTTCGGAGGGTTCGGAGGGGCACGCTTTGACGCGAGGGCGCGCGGCAAAGCGTGGGGCTAGTGTGGGCGCATGGAGAATGTCCATCCTATCACCGTAGGCTGTGTGTCGTGTGCCCGGTGTGCAGCCCTGCAAATGCCTCGTTGAGGCAGCGAGAGAGCAAAGAAAGCACAGAGAGAGAGAGAGAGGGAGAGAGAGAGAGCTACACATTGGAGTGGTTGGTAAAAGAATGTAAGGGATTGCAGTTTTGATCGTCGTGATGACCATCCACCCTTTCTAGTAATGAGACTCCTGTAAGGATGAGCTTGTGCTTCGCACGCCAAGAGGGCCTGCTGTAAAGGTCGGTTTTGCCCTATATCCCTATATCTATATATAAATATATATTATCATAGGCTTACCATGAGCAGGCCAAGCGGCTCGAGCAGCAAGATGAGGGACGTCAACCTGCCTGTTTTTCAAGTTCCGCGCATGTCCGGGGCATTTCGTTCACAAAGCCCGCTCCTTGTTGCAGCACACATCTGCCACTGTCGAGACGACTATGAAGATGTAGGTCATGGGACCCCATGTCGCAGTCTTTCATCCCATTCCTTCCTCCGGTGCGTTCGTTCTCGGGGACCATCGCCGGGAGGTTCCAGTGGCTGTAAGGAGCTGGTCATTAGCTGAGAGGTGATGAGCTTCCACAAAGCCTCTGGCCGGAGGGTTTAGCTTTGCCTTTGTTCCACCAAAAAAGGCAGTGAAGGCGTGGAGAGAGGTGGGATGTAGGTGGCACAGCCGGGAAACCGGACACATACACAGAGAGATGCTGGAAAAAACAAGATATAATTATACATATAGACATATAGAGATTTGGATGTAACAATGATATACACACATATGCATATATATATATGTTTAATCTGTTTATATATATATATACATGAATCAAATGGCACCCTCCCACCCAATAAAGAAGAGACGCTGACATTTGGTCGGCATTCTAGGGGTATCATCGGTGTGGTGAATTTCGGGGGTCAGTAATTACGTATATATACAAAAAATGTGCCCCTCCCCAAAAAGATCTACCCCTTTCAACGGTTGGTGGCTATTTACAGTGTTTTTGGTTAATTCTTGATTGTTTGTTTCATGCATGTTTTCAGTCAAAGACAGAGAATTCCGGACAGTCCCACATATTGTAAAATATTATACTCGAAGTAAGATGTACAAAGTAAGATTGCACAGGGCTCTTCCAAAACATCTGACTTCCTGTACTTGGAGATTTGCAGAAAAATACGTACTTTAGACTTTTGTACTTGGAGACTTCCAGCAAGTTTTACGCTTTTGTTTTTTGGAAATAAGAAGAAGTCTCCGAGTACTTCTTGCTTCCAGAAAGCTTTAATTGAGTCAATATTTTCTGTGCTTGGAGCAAATGGTTTAAGTCAACTCACACACACACAAACATCCTAACCCAGCTGGCTAGTCTCAAAGCCTTTCCTCTATTGTAGGGGTCCCACTCTTCGGTCTCCAAACAACATATTGTCCTTGCAAAGACATGCATTTTTGAATCATAATGAATTGCTATTTTCCTTCTGTGAAGGCCTCACCTTGTGTCATGATAGTCTCCTTGACGCATTTTCCTCTGAAAGCAATATCCGCCCCGCAAAGTTGGAATTACCCTGGAAACGCATCCATAATTGTCAATATAAAACATTGCTTATTCAATAATTGAATCAAAGGGCAGAAATGACTGATAATGCAAAGCTTCTTGTCGAGAATGACAACTTGTTAGGTAGGTGCCCAAGGTGAACATTGCAGGACCCCTTTGACAAGGACACACTTAGATACATAGCTCAAATGAATGAGCATAAGTTTCAGTAACTGGCTCGCTGTTGCAATAACCCTTAACAGTCTATTGACAGCAGAAACGACTTAGTTACTGAATACCTAGCCCCTTGACTTGCAAAAACGGTAGGGACGACTCACAACTGCCTGGACCTGCTTCAAATCCCCAGCTGTGTGGAACACTCTTAGGTACAGAGTATGACACACACACACACACACACACGCCTCAATTCCATATCAGCTTCGCAGACGACAGACTTTCAGGTGTTGAACAGAAGGGTTTTCGGGCGATTCAGGTGTCCTGCAGCCGTGGACCAATTCAACTTTGGGGCACGAGCTCAGGTATTTGGTGAAGACGGCTTGGTTGAAGAAAATACTTGAATGGCCATTAGGTTGGAGGCCATCACTACTAGGGTGGAGGCCATTGCTATTAGGTTGGAGGCCATCGCTATTAGGTTGGAGGCATTTGCTACTGAAACTGATATGCTTAGACAGGGTGAGGCCCTCATCAAAAGACACATTCACAAAGGATGAGATCTGTAAGGAACGGGACCCCCTAGTATGTCAGGAACAAAGCCCCGAGAATTCAGGGAAACCACAGGGCTCCTATGATTTCCAGGGGTGATATGTTTCCACGCGAACTGTGAACGGACAGGCTCTAAATCATGAACATGGAAACAAGGGAATCATCTGGCACGCTAGCGCGCGACCTGGGATATTCTTGATCAGCCCAGGTTTAATATGGTTTACTACTGTTGATGGACGGAAAACATAGGTCTCCAATTCAGATGCCCATCCACCAAAATTGTTATAAGTTATAGTTGACATAACTCGGTATGTATATATATATAATATAATTCTTCTCATCAGCTCATTGCCCTCTTGCTACATCATTTTGTGTCTATCCCGGGGTGCTTTCCAACACCTTTTCAGGACATCATGCATCCTTTAGTTTTCTACAAGACCAGGTAACGCTGATGGCTTGGCAAACCCAGCGCTAAGATTCTGTCTCCCTTGTTGGTGATCTCGAACACGATGGTTCCGACGGCTGGGGCGCTGGGGCGCCGACGGCTTCGAGCTTGAAAGGCCAATCTCCGCACCGCGCGGGCGGGCATGTGCCCAACGAGTGTTTCACCAACCAAGATGATCGATCTGGTTCTTGAGAGAAGTCGTCATACACTTTTTGGGAGAACCGTCAGTAGATAGGACATAAACAGGGGATGCTTGAGCACGATCTTTTGTGAGCTTATTTTTGCGCAATTTCCTATTCACCGAATTGATGTGAGTTTTTCATGGGCGTGTTTCAAAGGGTCAGCCGCGAGGGTTTGATGTTGGGAAATGTTGGGAAGTAAAAGTCGACTGGAGAAAGTATGCCAGCCCCGTCTGCCAAGCAGATGGCCGCTGAGAAATATCGTTCGTTTTGCGCGGAAAAGGACCTGGGCAGTTGGGAACCCGGCAGCGCGCCTCGTGAGGCCCCTGCAGCATCGGGAGTGGAGCGAGAATGGTGGGTGCTTCTGATTCTGAGTCAAGTGGAGTGTGATGTCAAAAATGTAGGGAGACCCTCAATCCACAGGGTTTTGGTCCATGTTCCTTCTTTTTCAGGGGCTTCGTGGTCTGGGAGGCCGCCCTAAAGTGAACTCAAAGCCCGGATGGCACTGCTGACCCAGCCTCTTTAAGACATGTCCCAGGTTGAGGAAATTCAGGCCTCAAACGGGTTGAACTTGGAACGATGTGATTCACACCGTAGATATACTGTGTAAGTAAAAAGAACCTAAAGAATTGGCAATAAAATTAAGAATTCCCAGCACTATCCGATGGATGTCCCGGCTGGACTACACTACTTAGAGGTGTCCAGCCAAGACACCCAGACAGGACGGTCCAGGTACGAATAGTGATGCCATTGTTACTATAGTAGCTTCTTGTTACTAGTAGTAATGCACTTGTTACTAGTAGCTTCAGTTTTTGAGGACCCCTTTCTTCAGGGGGGATCAGAGAGAAATCGCCCAGCCCAGACGCGTGGTGTCGGGCCCAGGACCTCGGATGAAGATGGCCGGGAGCTCTGACGGCGCGGCAGCCCGACACAAACGCGGCCGCGATACGCGATACGCGATACGCGGCATCCGGTTTGGGGGAAGGGAATGGTTGGACGTTTTGTTTTTTCTGCAGCAACTCCATCCAGGAGTCACATAGAGTTGGCACTGGAGTTGGCAGGGGCGCCCCGACTTCCTCCAAGTTCGGCACCCCGTCTTGTGACTCCTGGATGTTGAGTCCTTTTCCGGTGGTAAGATATTGGTCATTGAGTCAGATGCGATCCTCTGCTATTTTGGTTGATCGTCCCACACTTCAGTTTTTGTTTTTTTCAGGCAACGAGGTGCTGAGTTGGCATATGATGATTGGCGGACATTGCAGGTTACAACAACTGGGCTGAGTTTCGTAGACACTCAGATTCCCAAACACGACACATGGGACTGCCATGACGGACTGCCGATCAAGCCAGACCCCTCTGGCACCACCCCTGGCCGTTTCTCGGCATCTATGGCAGTCCCATGTGTCGTGTTTGGGGCTACAAAAAGAATGGGACCTGCTTCCTCTTCAGCCGGTCAAAAAATACATTGGCACCTGCTACCTTCGCCCTCGGAGTTCCCTAGACTACCATCGACGTGCTGTCGCTCTTCAGCCGGATCCACCGGGAGCGCCGTGCCATGCCGTCCGGCGGTCCGCTGAACACGCTCAGGTCCGACCCGCGGTGAGTTGACTCGGGTCCGCGAGAAGCGCCGCGGGGGGCCGCGAAGCACGGGTGGTGCCGCTCGTCGGCACGCCGAGTCCGTGGCTTTCCGATGGCCAAAGCCCCTTCCCCCTCCAAACAGGCCACAGTCTTCAAAGAGGAAGGAGCCACGGGCGTGTGAAAGAAGCCTCGAAAGAAAACGGTTTCTTTTATGAGTCTCTCAGCTTGGAAACATGTTTTTTTTGGACCTTTTATTCCAACAAGTATTCCAGAATCAACATGAATCAAGGCCAGGAAGGGCGGACCTTATTGTGTTTTTTGCAATTGAAGAGGCGGCGGCGCTTGGTCAAGACGACATGGCATGGATCCTCGTTCCTAGCTCAGGCTGACCTTGGAACGGTGCATGTTGGTGCTGGGTAGAGGGTTCGGACGGGAATCTGCTGGAAAGTTGAATGTCCTGTGGGCAACGTTGCAGAAGGTTTGTGCTCC